TTTTGAATCTCCAATACCAATAAGCTAACTTTGCAAGAATCTTCTTTTTGCTTTTAAACCTAATCTTCTTGTATAATAATCTTGACTCAAAGAGCTACGCCCATTTGTTTTCTTTAAGACGAAGTGGTTTGTTACTGATACCCTACGTTGTGCAGTTGTAGTATTCTCTACACAATAATTTTCAAATGGGAGGACCCAACGAGTCTTTGGCGAAGACCCATCCCAACGCCCAAAGGAGGTTAAAAAAAAAAAAAAAAAAAAAAACTTTAATGAAAAGATCCAGTACTGTTTACTTTAACGAAAAATCATATTTTTATATTAAAAAGTCAATCATTGTACTATTTACTTTACCCTTTATTTTACTTTTAACGTTAAAACTTAAAGTTTTCAAATTATTTTAATTAATTTTTCTAAAAATAAAAGGCTTAAAGCTTTAACAAATCAAAGTTATTAAAATGCAGGTAAAGAAAGTCTGTGGGGGCATACGAGAGAGGATTAGCTTTTCCCAAAGGAACTTTTGGTCGGAATAATTTTTGCTTGATTGGCCCTTTTATGTTTGTCTTGTGTTAGTAACAAGTTAATATTTTTTCATTTGTGGTTTGGACTGTTGCTTTTCCCTCGTATGTATAATCTCTACAGTCTTTTATCTCTTCCGTGAGTTGGAACCTACTTGGGGTTGTGCTAATTTGTCCTCTGTGGAAAGGAAATTTCACTTTTAATCCTAGAAATATTTTTTTTAGGTTATTAACCCTAGCTTAGTTGAATGAACATTATTTGACTCATTTGTTTCGTTATCTGCAAATTAGAGTATGAAATATATGTAAAAATAGTTCGTTAAAATTAGAAATGATAATTTTTATACACATATCAAATTGTGATTTGTTAGCACGATAACTTCATATGTACGAAAGTCAAGTATTATATATGAATTAAACGGACACCATTTTGAGACATTTTACAGTTTTTCTTTTTGCTTATATGTACAAAATTTATTTTTCTTGAGTACAGGCACTCAACTCCGACTCATTTTAACCGTTAATCCAACAACTTAAAATAAGTGACCAATAATCATTGGACTTCATTGTGGAGTAAAAAATAATCCAAAACATCACGGAGCTGACACGTGAATTATTTCCGAAGAAAGACAAGATTGTCCTTATTAAGTGAGCAAGGATCAACCTCATTCACCACGCGCAGCTGAGGTAGAGCAGGTAGTGATCAACGACTGCTCAAGGCACCTCTGCCCGTAGGAAAAATTAAGGGTATTTATGATATAATAATCCCTTATTCTTATCATAAATGTGCTCCTAATCAAAGAAGACATCTTTCAAGTAAGTTATCCTAATCCCATTTATTTAGGATATTTACCTAATTATTCTAAGATATTTATTCACACAAATATCTTAGAATATTCTCAACCAAATTCCACCCAAGGGCCAGCCACATCTAAACCCTAGAGGGCTGGCCCATCTCCTCCATTTATCTTATAAATACTCCATTTATCTCCAAAATTTGGGGAAACTTTAGCTACCCCTAAAGAGGTTTTTTGCTTCCCACAAACACTCAAAACACATTATTTTCAGAATTCTAACTTTGGTATTAAAGACTCTTCGACCAAAGTCCCTCCATTTATCGTGGGCGCGTGAGGCTTTTGACCTTAATCTTAGATGTTATTATTTTGCAGGTGCAGATTCGTCAATCAAGGAAATGCAAAAATTTGCATCCGCAAATTGGTGCTTTCATTGAGAGTTCTGATTCGAAGGCTTGAAGAAGACTCTTGCTTTCAACTTTCTTCGTTCGTAGATCCACGACTACAATGTCAGGAAATTCAGAAACCACAACCAATGAGACCTCCTATGTTGAAGGACATGGCCCAACCGGTGGAGATCGCGACGTGGCTCCACGCCGTCGTTCTTCAAGGTTTACCACGGCAAAGACTGCACCTTTGCCACCACGAGCTACCGTGGCTATGCCAACAGCGGCAACCGCCGCTGTAGTGGCCCACGGGACAACCTCCACTCAACACGAGGAAACCCTAGGGTAGGAGGCCCACGATGCAAGTAGCCAACAGGCGCAGACCCAAACAGCTGCTTGTCCTCGGCATCAACTTTTGGCGTTTGCCACCTTCACTTGGATGCCAACTGCCTAGACCGAGGCAGTCCAAGCCATGCCAACCGAGGTGGCCTAACGCCCATACGCCCGACCTGCTCCCACAACCCTCCAGACGGTCCAACATAGTCCCATACCAGTTCAACCAGCCCAAATTTAGATTCCAAGGTCGACGGTTGAACCAAGGGTATTTTTACCCCACCTTACTGCAAATCTGACCCATGTTAGCTCAAGCTTTGCACCTAGAGTCCATTACACTTCCACAACTTAAGCAGACGTCTACCATCCCAACTCTTCCATTCTAAATGGCGAACAACACATATCTCGACAAGTCGCCAAACTCACAAGCACCCTCACGCAGCAGACTACCTTGGTGAGTCAGCTCTGGCAACGCACCGATATGCAGCGTGCCCCAGACGAGGCATCCCGGAGTAGGACAAGGGCAGGCGATGACATTTCTCTCCAATGGCATCCCAGCAAGCAGCCCTTCGACTAGCGTAGACTCTCATCTTAGCGCGTGGAGGAGCGTGCACTCTCATTTAGGCCCCCGGACGAGCATACATTTATGTTTAGGGCCACACTCCAATAATCAACATGGACAACCTTCTAGGCGAAGTGTTCATACGCGGTTAGGCCCGCAAGGAGCATCCTCCACCTCATATTGGAGTAGGTAGCATAGCAGAATGGGATAAGCAGCTGCATAATCCGGCTCAAGTTTAATCGGCAGCCTACGAGTAAAGGCGAAAATTTGCAGGTGTTATTATTTTGCAGGTGCAGATTCATTAATTAAGGAAAAACAAAAATTTGCATCTACATTTATGAAATGGTAAAATTACCCAAGAAAAATTGATACAAACACTCTTTGAAAGTTTGGTGGGTGGGCGTTCGATTTCCATGTGAACTGCAGTGTAATGTTTCCCTTCCCCTCTCTCTCTCTCTCTCTCTCTCTCTCTCTCTCTCTCTCTCTCTCTCTCTCTGAGCAATTTATATTATTTTATGTTATCTTTAGAAAAATAATGTATGTGGAAAAAGTTTGGCTGTACCACAGGCACACACGACTTGGGTCGGAAGAGGAGCTGTTACCCAGTAAATGAACCAGTTACTATCACACGCTTAAGGTCACGCATATGCTGCTTGATTGAATGAGTTCATCATAGAAACGGTCAAATCCCTAGAACGATGCCCTTCCTTTCCAACACCGAAACTGCTCAATTTGCTTTCCTTTTTCATGCACAAGTTTCAATATACATAACTCTCTTTCCCTCTTTTCTCTTTTCTTTTTGCACCTTTATCTTTTTTTTTAGCTGCATGTTATTAACCTTGGGCCATGTTAATTGCCCATTTATAATTATATATGAATAATATGAAAATATGACTAATTAGGCTTGTGACTAACTTGGCACGAGAATACCAGATACATATCCAATCTATTCCTATCTCTATATTCAGTCATGATGAGAGAGAGAGAGGGAGAAAAGGAGAATGCACACAATGTATACAAGTTTATCTCCTTATGACCTTACGTAGCAACAGAGGAAATCTTTGCTTCAGGAGTTATGCTACCATACATCAGTGTCGTAAGTGGCTCGAATTAATCCACTCATTGAAATTCTAAAAAACGTTAATGCATATTCAGTCATTAATTCAACAATATATGTTATGCATTGACATGGTATAGAGTTGAGGTACACTAGTATACCCAAATTACCAATATTAAAACGAGGAATGTTAGCAATATTTTATTTGAAAATTCACATTTTTTCGTACTTGACTTTCTCACTTGTAGTGTTATGATTCAACCCATTTGTTTTCTACGTCAGCATTTAAAGAACAACTCTACTTAAAAAAAATTAACCAAAAAAGTATTAGGGGTGTGATATCCATACATCCCTTTTTACTTCTCCCACAGCTTTTTGATTTTTAACCGTCGGGTTGGATGAATTGAAGAAGATCAACGAACAGAAATTAACAAGGGGTGTGTGAGAAGTAAAAAGGAGTGTGTGGATAGCACACCCCAAAGTATTATCTAGTTAAAAGATTCTATAATTTACATATCTGCATTTTCTCAAGGCATTTCTTTAGACAAAGACCCTGTTTTTTTCTTCTTTCCAGATGGTAAATATTTCTCAAACATAGAGTGTAAATCAAACTCAAGTTTAATCATTTAGTCGTCTAATGACATGCAACAAATAGATGAACTATGTTATCAAGTTAAACACTGAAATTTTGACAAAGTTCATCATATTTAATGGCTTGAAGTTGTGCCACATATTTACTGAGCTTCATTTTATTTTTTCTTATTTTTGTTCAACAATCCTTGCTCTTTTCTACTCATGTTCAGACCACCATTTACCTTCCTCGTTATACATGGCAGTCAAGGTTGGCTTCTCATGTCGATCTTGAAGCCATAAGAAAATTTGGCAGTTATCTCGAAAATTTCAGAGTTGCTAGAAAGATTGAAAATAATTTTTGAATTGCATCGTCGTTCTCATAAATTTGCTTAATAATCTTCACATGCGTAACACAACAAAGAAGAAAAGAGAAGGGAATGGCAGGGGAGGAATGAGGGGGGAGAATCCTCCTATCAGTGTTTGAAGAGGATAGAGAATGAAAAAAGGAAAATGACACTACATCCTTCCAAATCTTTATACAGCCTTTTCTTATCATACAAAAACCCAGCACTAGTACTTAAAAACCTCTCTCTCTCTCTCTCTCTCTCTCTCTCGGGTTCCCCCAAACGAATATCTTCTATTTTTCACGGACCCTCATTGCCCTTTAGTTTTTATAAAATTATTGAACCCAAAAGTAGTTATAAACTACTGTATTATGAGTGCCCACTTTACTTCGTGAAACTCCACACACACAGTACACGGAGCGTCTCTCTGCGTAATTCGAGAGGTCACGGTTCCTTTTCATCTGGATCATAATCCCCATCGACATCACATCACACCATTTCTAGAGAGATAAAACTCCCACTTCTACAGAAAGAGAGAGAGAGAAGAAAAAGATGAAAAAAACCAATCTTTCCATCTGGCTTTTTACTAATTTCATTTCTCACTCTAATTTCTGTTCAAAGTTTGTGGCTTAGGGTTTGAGGAGAGAGAAAGTGCAGCCTTTTCTTCTGCTCTGAATATTTTCAGAATCTCTTCCCTTTACTTTGTTTTTTTTCTTTTCTCCAACTTTTTCCATTTCATAATTCAAAAAACACCACCATAAAGTTGTCACCTTTCTCAAACAAAAAACAAAACCAGATTTCAAAGTCCTCACCTTTCATCATTTTTCTCCAAAACAAGCTTACTTTACTCCCAAAATGTCATCATTTCTTCCCACCTCCACTCTCACATTTTTCCTCCTCCTCCTCCTCTTATTAATATCCAGCTTTCATATTTCCCTCGCCGGTCTACTCGCCGAACCAGTGACCGGTCACCCCCAGCCGCTCAAACCGGGGGAATACTCCAGCCCCAACACCATCCCGGCCCTCCCGTCCCAAACCCAGACCCAAACCTGCCACCTCGACCTCTCCGCGGAGCTCTTCGGCGGCGTCAGCCAAGCATGCGGCCGAGACCTCGACCGGAGCCGGTGCTGCCCTGTTTTAGCCGCCTGGCTCTTCGCCGCCCACGCCGGATCAGCCCTCGAGCTCCCCTCGTCGGATACGGCTCCGTCGGCGGTGCCCGACCAGCCGATGATGCCGGACGACTCGCAGAAGTGCGTCAACTCGCTGCAGTCCTCGCTCGTCAGCCGGAACATTAGGATTCCTCAGCCCAACGCCAGCTGCGACGCGGTTCTGTGCTTCTGCGGAATCCGGCTCCACCAGATCGGCTCCTTGAGCTGCCCCGCCGCCTTCAACGTGTCGCGAGGATTTCACAACGCCACCCCCACCGCCGCCGTCAGGAATCTCGAGAAGAACTGTCGCAACTCTTCGTACTCTGGATGCACCAAGTGCCTGGGCGCTCTCCAGAAGGTCAGTTTCGTCTTTTCATATTTCAATACGAATTTTCCCCCTTTTTAGATTACAAGAATGCCCTGTGACTTGAGCGTAATTACAGCTCAAGGGAGGGAGCAAGAACGGAACGGCGGGGGACAGGAGCACGAGCGAGAGAGCGAACAAGATGTTCAACCTTGACTGCCAGCTAATGGGGCTGACATGGCTCCTCGCCCGGAACAAAACGGCGTACATTCCGACCGTTTCGGCCGTGCTGCGCGCCATAATGTACAGCGCGCACCCGCCGCACGAGAACACGTGTAGCCCGGACCAGGAGAACATGCCGCTGGCCGTGGATTCGCTGCAGATCGAGAACGGGCAAGGTTTCGCCGCATCGCCGCCGTCCATCTTGTTGTTACCGATTCTCCCTCTGATCATTTGGGCGTCTCTGTTTGTTTAGGGGAATCCGGGTGTGTGAGGTTTTGCCCATTTTTTGGGTAGTCCCTGACACCCTGTCGTGTCGGGTCACGTGACGCAAGTGGACAAGACGGGGCTGTTGGGTTGTTTTTGTCATTTTGCCCCCTGTAGATTTCAGCTCGGTTTCGAAATTGTAGTCAAAATTGTAGTGAGTAATAATTCGTTCCTCACATGGGGAGAGATTCACTTCCAATACGGTAGACACAGGATGCCACAGCAATCTGCAGTGGTTCTGGGTTGGTGTTTTAAGTCATTTACGCAAAAATAACTTATATGAAACGAGAATGCTAAACTGACAGTGTTTTAAACTAATCACGTGAAGTTGTGTGAAAAGTTAAAACATGTGGTGATGTGTAGCGGTCGGTTTAAGGTACCGTCTCTTTGACATTTCTCTTCTATACAAGTCTCTTCAAGCATGGTCTTGTTTTTGGCCGCAAGCATTGCGAGGGTCTAGTCACTCACGTGAATGGAGGGAAAATAAGGTAAATAAACGGGTTTAGGACACTGCCTTCTACTTAGCATATTTGTTTTTTTTTTTTTTTTTTTTTGGAGTACATCTATGGTAAGAAAATAAAGTAAACAGATGGGTTTGGGACTCGGGCTATCCAATCCGAGGGTGATAATATTCTATTTGATTGATTAGATTCATGGGTGGTGGGAATTTCTGGAGTTGCATTAATGGTAAATCATTTGGGGGTGCCCAAGGCTCATTTATAACATAGAAACTCCCCAAAACTGAGGATGTTGGTCGAATAGTAAATGCAAAATTTTGGACCTAACAGTTTCGGATTATAAAACCCAGGACACTGTAACTTGAGGAAGTAATAGAAATGGATTAATTAATAAATTGTTTTTGGAATCTGGACTATTAAAATACAGTTTCACATGTTACAGGGAACGAATTGCGGATGTATCATTGTCTTGCTCCTCCATTGGATAATTGTTTTTGTGTTCGCATTGAGAATCGTGTTCGGGTTAATTTTGGTTTGGTTGGGTTTGATTTAGCTTGTTTGGTAAATTTTGCACAAATGCTCTAAGTTATTTCATCTTTGTGCAATCTCCACTTGCATTAAACATTTCTTAGTTAACCAAACAAACCGCAAATTGTGTGAAAATGGCAAATCCATTCGCTCTTCTATTGAATAATTGTCATGTGACAAGCGTGTTCTCGTTAATTCCATGTAATTACGAAGAAAAATTGATTTCTGATGGGTTTAGTCGCATAGAATGATAAGAGTAGTCTTCCGCTTGTCACATAATAAAAAAGTGAATGAGTTCGACGGAAATCCGAAATTGCAGGAAGGTTGAACTAGGGGTTGACATGATCGATATCAAAAAATATTTTTCTTCCTCATTATTTAATGAATCACCAAACTAAAAAAATTATAAATCCATTATTTTGCCCTGTAAAACTTGACCAACAGAAAATCACAATCTTCAAATCACCTAAGTAGTATCATATCCATCCCTTACCAGCCCTTCCCTATAAGCCACAACCAGTCAAGTGTCACCCCTGCAAATATACCTCCAAGCAAGAACATCACCAGAAGATTTCCCAAAGCATTTTGCTCCGGCCCCTGCAAACCCAAAAAACTCCGATGAGTCTTTGCTTTCAACTCGAAAAAACTGTTAGGTTTAAGTAAATTGAAGTGCACAAACCTTGTAGCCCTTAGGTGCTGAAGTGAGGACGCAGACAGTGAGGTAACCGTTGGTTAAACCTAAGAAGGATGTGAGCATGATCATCCAGCCTTGGTCACCATACTTGGCCGTGAAATAGAAACACGGGACAAGTAAGAAGCGTGAAAGAATCACGATCATGAGCCCTCTGCGCGATTCCATCTTCAGGAATTTCACTAGCGGAATGTATCTTCCGATGAGATCACACACATTGTACATTGTAATCAAAACGAGCGCATACCTGACAAACAAAAGTACGAACACTCATGTAAGCGTACTCTGAGCGGGAAGTGAATGGAACATTAAGGCAAAGGGAAAATTTTAACAATGCCTCTAAACTCAGTTCCCTATTCCAATTTGCCTCTTTAACTTTCAGTTTGTTCTGAGGCTCCCTGATCATTTAATAGGTTCCGGTATGCTCCAAATCTGTCAATTTTTTTTGTAAACTGAGAGGTACTTTCGTCCATTCAAGGTGGGAAAGCTAACGAAAGTTGAGATTGAAAACCGAAGGGGAGACATAAGTTCAGGGAGTATTGGTAAGATCCAAGGCGCAAACATGTCATGTGATAGATTGTGTTCAGTACATACCATGTTCCCAAACTGTGAGATCCAGTGTCTTCTGATAAGAATCCGGGGAAAATTGACAGAGTGAGCGTATAGATTAGAAACATGCCAAGTGCATAATCAATGTTTTGAAGCAATAGCTGTTTGTTCCCAAGTCGGTCAGGTTCTTTTCGATTTTCCACATCCTGCATCACATTGCAGCGTTTTTTTTTTTGTCTAACATTAGAACATGAATGCTTGGGAAACTTTTTAAGCAAGTATTGGACAGAATAACATACTGTTGCTTCTGGCAATTTTTGGATGCCACCGGCAGCAAGGTCAGCTGAAACAGTTTTAGATCCTTCGGAAGCTGCCTTTGAGCGATAGTACTTAACAATTGGCAGCTTTGGAAAGGAAAAAGCATAGAGGAGAACGCAGAGAAGCTCGAAGAATGAAGAGATGGCGAAGAACAAAACTGCAGTGGACAGTGAAAAAATAAACAGCCTATAGTAAGAGATCCAAAAGAAAACAGTAAAATGTTCAACAAAATATGAAAAACTGAGAACTTTGAACCTACTGGCTCCCTTTCGAAGACCATTTTGGGAATTCTCAAATGCCGCCTTTGTAATCAGCCTCAAAGCAGAGGTTAGAGCTCCTGATGCAGCCGAACCAGCAAGGAAAGACTGAAAAGTTTGAAACAAGAGAAACTCAGAAACTGATAACAATTTCGAAAACACAAAGGAAAACAAATATTAAGCATCGAACATGAAATTGTGGAAAGACAATACTGACTTGGATGAGCTCAACTGGCATGAAAGAGAGGTCTCCAACCATTCCACCTTGCACATGAGCATCTGCAATTCCAAAGGCAGCGCTAATTGCACAAATTCCGATAAAAGTTCCAAAACCTCCTTTCCCTGATGTAGCTAAATCCAACTGTGCCAGAATCAAGAACATTTTAGAGACTTAAACCAATGCTAACATTGTGAAATTAAGAAGTACACTAAAAATTATAGTCTTTGAAGATTTGATGGGAACTTACAACGAGCACCAACAGAGAACTTAGGAAAAACAGAATGTATCCAAATAGGTTTCGCTTCCTAGTATTGATCTTCGCCTCATGGTATGACAGTGCAAAGATCGTTAAAAGCGCGAATGGCTGGTATACCAGTGTAAGTACCCTCGAGGGATGGTACCGCTGCAGCGGGAAAAAAAGAAAAAAAAGAAACAAACCCGAGGGATTTATCCAACTTCAAAGGTAACAAACTGTCCAAACACACTGCCTACTGTCACATAATTCAAAAGCAAATACAGGAGATTATGAACTAACAGGAACAGTGAGAACAAAAAATGATTTCTTCAGGCAGTTACCGGGAACAAGTTAACATAGTAATCTTGAATTGTGAGCATGCTGTTCCATGAAAAGAGGCATCCATTTCCAAGAAGCCAACACACTAACATTGCAGCATACTTCCCCTACAATTAGAGAACACATCCATATTAGAAATTGGTTCCACGCTAATTTAAGCGAGAGGGATTCGAATTTGGGTGCAAATTCGTGCTAGCGTAAAGGAAACAAAAGAAGGGGCAACAAACCTCAAGATTTGGAGGGGGCGCATTCACATCAATGCCTGCCATGACTGCTTCCTTTCAACCAGCTTCCCTACAAAGCGACGCCTTTATGGCAAATTAGCACACCAATACATAATAACCCACGTGATTAGAAGTCGTTTTTTGGAAATTATTTATTAATGGCTAGTTTAAATTGATGATCTTCGGCTATTCCTCTTAAATTTTTCTGCTCTGGCCACGAACTTTCTGCTCAATCTTGTCATTAGCAAATCATTAAATTTCTTGAGTACATAAAATAAGACTTAGAAATAAAGTCCTACTGTGAATCTGTCGCTACAATAATCAGAGTCAACCCCACTTCAATGAAGAGATTTCAGTTAGCCGGGAACACGGTACACCGAGTATCATAATACAAGTGGTTAGATACTTAAAAAGAAAAATTTTCAACTACTTGTATTATAGCACTTTGTGTACCAGATCGTGTTCTCATCACAGGAAAAAATTTCTCCCTTCAATGATTAAGATTTTCTTAGATTCAACCAGACAAGGCATTAGACATTTAAGTACATAATTTGTCCACCTTGTATCTATAAATTAGTTCGAACGTTAAAAATGAAGTTGTAGACTTTTCGCCAGAAGATTCATTATAAGATAGGAGTTGGGTTCCTTGAATAGGGAGGTGGAATGTCTGCCCCCTATTTCCATACTCTCATCATGCCCTCCTATTTGTGTGATCACGTCAATATTTTATATTTTTATTACTTTTTGTTTTATTATTTCTATAAAAAATTAATATAAAATGTTGACGTGGTTTAATCGTGACCATACATCACAGGAGGGCATGAGAAGAGTATGGAAATGGGAGGTAGAAAATCCACCTCCGTTGAATAGGGCGATGTGTCACCACTCTTACACGTTCATGTTCAAACCGTAAATTAGATTAATTTAGATATAAATATCTGTTCGCAAGAACAAACAATATATGATATTCCCAACGTATAAAATTTGAATCCTATGATGCAAGAAGAAACAAAAAACCCAAGCGATCACATTTGACTTTCCTTCATCATTATCTTTCATAAACATGCAAAACCAAAGATTTATCCACAAAAGGAGAGAGAGATAGAAACTTACTATTAGAAGATGGTGGGTAGGATAGGATATGTATGGATTGGACTGTGAGTGTGAGAGGACCCTTTTCGATGAAGATTCCAACTTTAGCCGTCGGCTACTGTGCAAACCCAGAAATAAGAACTCGCGGATGTTTGGTTGCACGCGTAAAACTCAAATCCTATGTTTGTTCAACTTTTTTCTGGCTTTGTGGCATCCGGAGTTGCACCGCATTCAACAAGGTCGTGAGGATTCAGGAATCACAATGAAATAATAATCCAGTCCAATTCAATCCATAAACAAAATCAAATCTCAACCCGTTTTTGTTTCACCCGAAAACATCTCAGATTCTCAATAGTCGCAGAAAATTAAGAAATAAAAGAAAAAAGAACTGTAAAAGTTTGAATTTGAATAGGACTGGACGTTCATAGCCAGTTGTTTGGGTCTATAAAAGGACAGAAACGAGTGAAACTCTCCTGAAAAGGGACGCAAGTGTTAACAATTTAGGGGGTGTTGACTCTGCCGCCACGGCGTCTGTTTCTCCTTCGTCACTTCCACGTGCACATTGGTAATATTCTATTTTCTTTATTATTGATTAGATGCTTTATTAGACATCATAAAATAGTACAAAGAAAATTATAGCAGCGGTTCCTCAATTTTAACCTAATTGAAGTAATAATTCTTTAACTGAAAATTCATGACTATTAGTCCTTTAACTCCTCAAAACGTGTAGCTATGGTCTTTTTCTTCAACTCCGTTAGAATTTCCATCAAAATGAGTCATGTGCTACGCACATGAAGCTAAATTGAGGGGCAAATATGGAAAACCAAATACGAAAAATTGTAGTAATGATTCCTCAACTTTAACCCAACTGGAGAAATTATCTCTCAATTTTAACCCAATTAGAGCAATGGTTCCTCAATTTTAACTCAATTTTAGCAGTGGTCTTTCCAACATAACTCATTTTAATGAAATTCTGACGGAGTTAACGAAAATGATCATAACTACACGTTTTTATGAGTTAAGAGACCAATGGTCATTGATTTTTAGTAGAGAGACCATTGCTCCAATTGAATTAAAGTTGAGAGACCATTGCTTAATATTAAAAACTAAAATTACGTCTTATTTTAAAGACATGCTGCCTGATTAAATATTATTGGACATAAATCAAATGTCGTACAAATACTAGCGCTAAAAATGATAAAATATTGTCTTTAGAAAATGGCAAACCGAAAGAAATACGCTAGTGATATCGACCTCGATAAAAAAATAAAAGAAATAAAAATAAAATAAAAATAAAAAATAAAAAAAATCTCAAGAAGATCACTTGGGACAAGACTTCGGGGTGGTAAGAAAAGCTCTAACGCACTTGGATTTCAACATTTACCAACTATTGCATTAGTCGACACCACCGTCTTCACCTTCACAATCGGAAAGCCAAGTACACCATCATCGAGAGTAACTCCAAAATTCATTCATAACTTCTCCTTGATTAGCCGGGATATTTCCGTCGAACATTAGGTCTATTCCCACGAGTAATTACCCGGTTTTCGCTTTGTCTCCCGAGTTGCATCATAAGGTGGTGGAGGCTGATGTGGTATCAGGTCGACATGGTTGCACTTTATCTAAGTAATGCTACATTTATCATATGTTGACGTGATTCTATTTTATCTGAATAATACTACATATCACATTTGTATTATCTCTATAATAGAAATATGACTCACTATCATATGAATCCTATCTTTATTGGAGAGTTGTTGGCTTTATCTAAACACGGGATGACTACTGGCCGGAGGTTCATGTCAAGAGCATCTCCAAAGGAGATGTCAAATATAATATGTCAAAATTTTATTTGATGACTAATATGACAAATTGAATACAAGTGCTAAATTCTCTTCTTTTCTAATGGATGTGTCAAATATTTATTTTATTATTTTATTGGGCCTAGAGTTACATTAACTATTAAAAAACAATCAAAATTAATTGTAGTTTTTATTTTATTGGTTGTTAATGGGACCCATGTATTAAAAAATTCAATTAAATATATTTGACTTATTCTTTGTTTGCTGTAAAAAAAATGCAGTTAGAAAGCAAAGAGTCCAATGACTCACATGCCACATCATATATGACATATCTATTGAAGAACACCTAAATATCTTTTAATCCTATTTGACATATTTAACATCTCCTTTGGAGATAGTCTAAAACCATGACTGGTGTCACGTAGTTATGGTATCACAAATCTTCAGAGTCACATTAGGTCGGACGTCTCCTATTTGACATATTTAACATCTCCTTTAAAGATAGTCTAAAACCATGACTGATGTCACGTAGTTATGGTATCACAAATCTTCAGAGTCACATTAGGTCGGACGTCCGACTGGCTAAATGTTCGAGGGTTTCGTAAATTCCGACCCCTGATTTGAAATCGTTGGGCAGGTTGGACAAGGTTATATGGTTGTTCAAAGCTATGTCGCCATCATGTATGAAGACATAAATTTGGTTAGTGGTGGTGTTCAAGTTGGACAAAGTTATATAGTTGTTCAACATTGTCTATGTTGCTTCATTTAATTGGTCTAAATTCTGCATTGGATAAAAACTGAGCTCTTCAAATTAAAATGCGTCACTTATATGAATTGTCAAATAATACAGCAATTTGAATCTGGTATTTCAACAAATTATAAATAAATTTTTATGCGACTTAACTTAATACGACACATTTGCAGTCAGTGACGGAGATAGAATTTTGTCACGATTAGTGCACGATAATTAAAGAAGTTCCCATCCTCACAACCCTTAGAGATCTTAATTCCCATACGCAATGGAACCATCAACTACAAGACAATACAATACAACAGGTTTTGCAAAAGCCAGTATTAATACATAAAGAAGAGAAGAACAGAAAATGGCAAAAAATTAGGTCCTCCTTGGACACAAATAAATGCTTCAAATTCAGCAAAGAGTAACCTTATGACACAGGTTGTTTATGAACGAAGAAAGATATAGCGAAACAATTCAAATTACATATTTTCATAAGAGTTGCTTTGTGATGTTTAAGACCACCATGGATCTTCGCCGGTTCTGAAGTCGGTTTCAACCCATGGAACAAACACCACCTTCCCGTCATCAATATCGGCATGAGCCAACGCCAGAGACTGTTCCAGCAAGTAAAATTTCAAAGATTGGTTATTTCAGAAAGGAGGTAAAGAAACAGACTTTTATCGTATGTATTATGCAGCACTCGACATAAATATATGCATATTGCAGCTTTAAAAACCGTTGTGGACATAGCAATTTTGTATACTCGGTTAGCCTTCATCATAAAACCAATCACTTTAACGCCTTACTTAGTTACAACCCTACGCTACCAAGCTCGGTACATACTTGGTTAATATATCTTCAAGAAAAAGAATTTAAACTAGCAAGAGTCAATAAAAGTCTAAATGAACTCACCAAAGGAGCAGGTCCTCTGACAACCCTTCCTTGGTCATTGTACTGGGATCCATGGCAAGGGCATAAGAACTTGTTTTCCGCCTTGTTAAATGGCACGACACAGCCAAGGTGAGTGCAGACGGCATTGATTCCGTACGTGGCAAGAGTTTTATCTTTCTCCACAACAAGGTATGTAGGATCACCCTGACAAGCACAGCAAACAATCCGAGATAATTTAATACCTTCTAATAATATACATCCCAAATTTCTCAATTCGATTTTCAGAATGGTTGACCACAACAAAAAGTATCATTAGGTCATAATCCCATAATGCTGCTGATTGTATTGGAAGTCAGACTTGTACTTTTAATACAAATTGAAATGAGGATATGATAATCTAAGATATTGAGCTTCATCAGTGACATGTATCAGTACCTTCAATCCTTGTGTGAGGGTCCTGTCACCAGGGCCATGAGTCTTAAGCCATTCAGCTGCAATCACGTCGTTTCCGAGAGCATCCTTAGCAACTTGACCAGCAGAGCCGGAACCGGAGCTATAATGTTTTTCCAAGCAATCGTAGCCATATCAAAGAGCTATGGATAAATTATTTCATGCCAATACACTACTGTGAGTATGATGACCATTGGGATATAACATGATTGTTCACTCACATCCTAACAAACACTCACTAATAGAAATCAAGAGTTCTTATTGAACAGTTCAGTGGTGAAGAAAAAACTCATATAGTGCGAGAAGAAAGGAGTTTCTCTCTTGGGTAATGAATGCTATTTAGACAGTGTCTCAACAAATGTTGTTAGTTTGGCGTGTCTAAATGACATTATTGTTTTCTATTTGGTATCAACTTCTCAATGGGGGATCAGTTCAACTTTTAACATTCAAGACGTGGTTCCATATAGAGGTTCTATAACTTCTACTTTGGCTGTAAAACATTTGAAGAAAAAATAGACTTCTTGCAGCTAAGCAAAGCTCAGTCGATATCAGTGGACCAATGAGACTAATAGCTTATGAAAATACATTAACGCAAAAATCAATGAAACCTTTGAAGTGAATCCTAAGCCGCATTTGGATTGGTCTTAATGAGTTCAACGGTTCAATATGATATACAAGATATAATCCAAATACAATGAAAACCCCAATAACAAGTACCACCACCAATCGACACAAATACTTAAATGAAAGAAAGGGGCAAAAAGTAGACATGAGTTATGTCAATTAGCTACAGTTCAACCACATCTTCTTAAATTAGAATAGTTTAGTATATATATATCGTCTTGTTTAAGAAAAACTAAAAATTGGGAAAAGGGTAAGGTGGGAAGGAAGAAAACTCACCCAGGTGGGGCAAAGAACGTGGCATAAGGAACCAGCATGAAGCCACTGGGAAGTGAGATGGCACCCAGAAGAAGCAGATTCATAAGCTTCCTCTTCTCCATGTCTGGCACTCTATCAGCAGAAATACTGGCTGCCTGGCACGTGACTCTCATTCCCTTCCCATTTCCCATCATCTGTGTCCTCTTGCCCTTCACGGCAAAGCCCTGCGCTGATGAAAACATTGCACTCTTGCTGGAGCATAGCTGAAATAAACAAATAAATAAATCAAACACAACAAAAGCTGATTTTTCATTAATCCTGGCCTTAACCCTCCAAACCCACGTCAGGGAAATCAATTAAAAGAGATCAATCAGTACTAATCAATGGTCAAGTAAGCAATAGGAGAGTTGGTTTTTGGTTTTATTACCTGGGAAGTGGTAGCAGGAGAAAGAGTAGAGGAAGCCATTGGAACGAGATTGCTTGGAGACAGAACTGTTAGCTTCTTTTTTGTGTGAAGTATGGTTTTGTAACGACCACAGCCATTGGTGGATAAGGCGCATGGCCAAAAGGGCGCCACATAACCACATGTTCATGATCAAGAATTTTCCTTTTTCCCCTCCTCTCTATACAATAAACTTTCAAATAACATAAATTGACGACTCTTTTGAAAAATTAAAAAACAGCAATGATGGGCCGACTTACCCAAGATTGGGATGGGCTATAAATATATTTGTCAACAAAGATTGCGAATTGTAGTATTGGGCTATTAGTGGTTTGGCTTTGGGCTTTGCCCTGAGAACGGAAATTTTTGCTTTTCACTTTTTTGCCTTTCCAAAAGTTTCGAAGTATGGTGGCAATGGGGTCAGGTTTGAGTTTAACCATTTATATTCGTGTTGCGTTCTTGTTAATTCATTGATTGGTCATCATACAAAATAGTGGTGGAGACAGAAGTTGAACTCACTGGGGTTGTGATGAAGAAGGAGGCATATTTTTTTTAGGGAAAACTTGATATAAGTCCAATTTTTTTAGCCAATGGTAGGAATACTCCAATTTATTAAAATAGGTCCAATTCCTTAAATTTTATTTTATTATCAATAATTATCTATTCAATGATAAGATTTATTATAAAAATCAAATTTCTTCATAATTATCTCTTTGATTATTTCTTTTTATTTTTATTTTTTATTATTTATTGTTCTTCCTCCTGCTTTAAACCCCATTTATAGATTTTATTTTTAATTTTTATAATCAACCTATATCACAGGTTAATTATTTTTATGTATCTATATGATAGATTCTTTTTTATAATCAACGTGTCACAAATTAATGTGTCTTGCTTATAGGTATATTATGTTTTTTCCTACCTTTTAGTTAGGTTTCATATATCGCTTATAGGTATAATATATATTCATATATTTGTTACTTGAGTTAATTATTTTTATGTATCTATATGACAGATTCTTTTTTATAATCAACGTGTCACAAATTAACGTGTCTTGCTTATAGGTATATTATGTTTTTTCCTACCTTTTAGTTATGTTTCATATCTCGCTTATAGGTATAATATATATTCATATATTTGTTTCTTGAGTTAAGGTAGAATGTTTTGTAGATAATTTATGTTAGTATATTAGTTTTTGTTGTTGTAAGATATTAATTAGATTTTTTGGAGTTGAAAAATGCATAATATTAGAAGATTTTTAATTGATTTTTGATATTTTTAAAAAATATAAAATGAGTATAAAAGAAATAAAAACATTTAATTAGATAACTGGACTCACTCCTAAAAATCATCTATATTTTTGGACCTAAATCTAAAAGCCCCTTTTTTTTATTATATATAATTCATGACTAATTCTTATATACCTCGATGGATGCAGTCATATTATAACCATATATCCTCAATGTGTAATTAGTTAAATTTTTTCAACCTAAGCAGTCGCAATCGTTAATTTGGTTGCCAAAGCAAATGCAACAACTTGTGTGAAAGACTATCGATTAATAGTGTTTGAGAAATAATGGAAATCAAATAAGAAATCAAACGCATGAAGACATAAAACTGAAGCTGAACCTAATTGTTGGAAGTTGTTATTGGGATAATGGGACTGGTAGCAAAAATTATATGGAGTTGTTGGGGTTATGTCAACCCATTGACCACCCCTTCCCTCCGCTACTGATGCAAATGATGTGAAAATACTGACAATAACTAATTTTAATCATCTAAAATTTGAAAAACAGTTACCATTTTGTTAATATAATATTAGTCGAACAGTTTTAATCGCGTTTCGTGGCATGCACACAATGATTCCTACATTTGTGCACATTTGAAGTCATTATAATATGTTGTGCCCTAAATTTCTACTCCTTCATGACTTAATTATCGTACCAAGAACAGAGTAATTTATTTGACAACAGAAACTTTGATTAGGGATTAATTTTCTGCTTAAAGACAACTTTTGTTGTAGTAGTGTGAGCGACAATGTTAGATCACTATCACCATTTCATGATTTCACATAAACCATAAGTCAAACACCAAATAGACAATTCAGCTAATCCCCCTTTTTTCTCACTACCAAACCCTTTGAATCCTTTGACAATAAAGTAAGAGCAATGTTCGATTGTCTTCAACTTCCACTTGAAATTCTGGGCTTGCATGCCATCCTTTATCCTAGTTTATTGAACACAAGTTTTGACATTCTTTCCTCTCCCTGTCCCTCTTACACGCACTCATATACCCCCCTTGCAAGTTGATCTTAGGTGAAAACACAAATCCAACTAATCACAATCCTAAAAACAGTCTCAGCTTTTGCTTCTAGCATTATTTTCTTTTACTATATGATTATAAGGAAATTTTTACCATATGCTATACATCTCAAATCCCTAGTACTGCTATTCATAATGATTTTTTTTCCCCAGTCTACAGCCAAGCACCGTAGGGAAAAACTTTTGGTGCACTGGTCTCCAGAAGCTAATTAAGCTAGTCCTTAGGCAATGAATATGGACTTGGAATTGGATCTACTATGGACCTTAGCGTCCAAAGCTTAAGGATGAAATCATCTGGGCCGTTAATTGGTGTGTAAAAAAAATTTAAGTCGTTGGTTTTGTACGGTGAGCCAGGAAAATGAGTTAATGGAAACCGTTGTATTGAATTTGTGCGGCCTAGATGAATTGATCTCTAGACTCCAAACACTAAGGCCCGGAGCAGATCCAATTCCTATGGACTTATACATATGGACTATAGCCGTTAGCCATTTAGAAAATGCATAAATAAAGAGTTATAACTTATACAAACAAGAGTCTTTCTTGTCTTGATCACTATGGAGTATGGATTATGAATTGAATTAGTGAGACAACTACGTGTATACGTACATACATAGCTTAGCTGTCACTAGATCAAAATTTAATGGTCGGCATTTCATTTAAAAGTTACCATTGGATTGTGATCAACGGTAGTCTACAGCCTTTAATCTTAATATTTAAGTACTAATGTGTGTGAGATAATGAGTCTTTCATCTCTCCCAAGCTGTTTTCGTGGTAGGTTAGCATGCAGTATACTGCCAATGAATTCTCCAGAGAAGGATAAATAATTGAGTATAACTAGGTTTTCACTTTTATCCCAAAGTAGAACAAGGTCCACTTCACCTGTCTCCACCATGAATTTGCAAACCCAAAAAAATAATATATTAATGATGGTGTTATCTGAATAGGTAATGGCGTGAAACACACACATGATGTGGTTCCGCCTCTTTCTCTCTCTCTCTCTCCCTCAATATCTCTCCAAGCGTGCAATCTCATTCTCAACCTGTTCCACCTCTCTCTCTCTCTCTCTCTCTCCCTCTCTCCCCCACAATATCTCAAGCGTGCAATCTCATTCTCAACCTGTTCACTCCCTACCACTCTCAAATCTCATCCCTTTAACAAAACTCCATTAACAACTTACTTAATAATCAATCAATCTTCTTTTAAATCTTATTTATATGTATACATTGTTAAAGGTTCAACAATTCATGGGCTACCGCTAATTAATGTTGATATTATTTCCCTTTTAATATGTGCAATCCAATGAGTGTGAATTTTTATACAACAAATCTCGATAAAATTAGTGTAAAACCATTCAATTCAATTAATAATTCAGTTAAGTTTTGAGTGTGAAACATGCTTCAACATACACCTAGCTCTAAAAGTAATTAAAGAGACCTTATATTATGTACTCTATATATTGGTCTTCCAAGGAGTAAGAAAGTATAGTTCTTTGTATTTTCTTTTGCTTTCTCTTGCACCAATGTTGAGAAACTAAAGAGAATCCATTGATTTCGTCAAAGATGAAGACACCCAACAAAGTAAAAGAAAGTAGGAAGAAAAGAAAAAATATATAAGGTACCCGTATCAATGATTAAAAGTAGGGTTTCGAGATGGAGCAAGCTTGAAGCAACCAAAAAACAATGGAACGTTCTTCAAAGCAATTAGCCAGGCATTTGGATTCAAGTGATAAAACAAACAAACATTAAATTAAAATTTATTTGGTTTCTTCTGGTATCCCAAAATTTTTGTCTCCCAACTAACAAGAAATTAAGATCGATTTTAGTTTACTATTCCTTATGTATGCCTTGCGGAATGACTCACAAGTAGAATCCTATGGTAAGGTCGTTACTCAGTTACCCTTGTAGAATAATTAAAGGGCAAAAAATGGTTTAAAATGTGGATGGTATTTGTAAATCATGTGAAATTGAGATCCTTTTTCATGCAATCAACGGTGGTATACGATAACATGGATTCTCAGAAGTTGAATTTGACTATTGTTTTGGAATACCTGTGGTTGATGGTATCGCATTATTATATTTAGGGTAGTGCTATTTACATACCATTTTTACTTCTCACACAATTTTTTTTATTTCTAATCGTTTGATCAAATGAATTAAAGAATATCAATGAACAAAAATTAACAAGGGTGTGTGGAAAGTAAAAGAACCTGTGCACTCCTATATTTCATTCTAAATTTTGTCTATTATTACTCTTTTCATACCCCGCTTAAAAAAGGGCTACTATTGGTTTGGCATCAATCCATTCAACCACATATATAAGAATTTAGTACCTTAAAAACATGGGCGATTATTAACTGGTAATTTATTATAACGCTGGGGAGTGGTTTTAGCTTCATATTGCGCTTTTTGTCATATTATTAAGAAATCTTGTGACCATATTCTTAATTATCCTCAAACTATTGCTTTATGAAAAAGGATTTTCATTCTTTTGACAAGCCTCTTAATTATGCTCCTTGACAGCCCATTGAAGATGTATTTCTTTATGGTTTTTGGTCTCATCATTGTCCAAGTCCGTTTGAAAGCTTTGGTCCTTAGTTACTTGCAATTTATTTGGTGGCTTTGGCACGAAAATAACCATAAAAAGTTTCTATGTATGTCGCTTACCTTCTATTAGCTCGGTCTGTGGATGTTCTATTGTTTCTCA